ATCTTGAGGCATCGGGTCCCTCGACTTCTGGTGGAGGATGTCCGAGCTTCAAGTAACTGTTGGAACTTGCGGTTTTCCCTCATGGGGTCAACAATTTTTTGGCTCTCGAAGGTGAATACTTACTCTCCTCCTTGAGTCTACTTAGCTTTCGGTAATGGGTGCACATCTTCCTTTCTTTATGAACCGTCGGACGCACTATAAAGTGACGTGCTTGGTCCAACAATTCCCAATTCGGGTTTGAGTCTTCAACTCTCGTAGCTTCCTGACGTCTCATGCATTTGGCTCTGTTAACACTGGTCCTATTCTGGCACTTGGTCAATTGACTTCCACCTTTCGGTCAAGTGGTCTTCCTCATATTATTTATGAAAATATGTCACACGATTGCGAACAACAGTTAACTCTCCGAGTGTTGATAGTGACATGTTCTCTAATCACGACTTTTAAAAATTTCTCTGTCGGTATATGAACGCGTAATTTATAGGTCTTCGTCTTTCTAAAAAGACTATCTTCAACTTTCCCTTGTGCGGGGTTGGTTCTTCTTCTTGAATTATGGTTGTTGCGATCTCACACTTGGCTTTTGTTAGATCTACTGGTGGCTGCTACGGACTGTTGTTTGTGCATTTTTATTCTATCGAAAACTTCCGTGGGTGATGGCTTCTTTTTCGAGACGACGAGTAAGTCATCGTGGTGTCAAATTGTGATTTAACATGCGATCCTTGCTCTTGTTCTGTTAAACTTGATCTTCTCCTTCTTTGACTACTAGAGATTACCTCATACGGGAACATGTCTACTATGGTTCAGCTTCTAGCCTCCATGGTTCTTCCCGGACTTATGGCTTTTATTTCAAGCCTCCAGGACTTACCCGGACCTACGACTCTTATACACTGAAACCCTCGCTTCTTATACTTTCTTGAAGGCATCTTGCCAGTTTTAAGTGAGGCAATCTCTAGAGTTAGAACTTTACTCAAGCGTACATAGTTCAGACAATGAAAAGTCCACTGTCTTACCTATGTACTGATATCTATCGACTTATTCTTCTTTTAACATTTCCAACACTAATTCGTTAAGAAATCTCGAGCGGTTTCTCTCTCTCTCTCTATCTCTTTTTCTCTCTATCTCTTCATTTATTATCAATGTGACTCGTCGCACGATCCCCGTTATAACTGTACGTACAACAATCACGCTTGTCCGTAATGTCTGTTATCTAACCTTCAAAAATGTTGATTTATAGCTACAACTTGCTTTTCGTAGCCATGTTTGGCCACTAGAATCTGAATGTCTCTCCTCATGTCTTTCTAAAAACTATTATGTTCTTCTTCTCGGTGTTTACGAGGTGACGAGCAACCGCGCTCTTACGAACGAATTTGTGCTCGTACTCCTCTACCGAGCGGCCCCTTGCTGAAGGGCATATCACTCTCGCTCTATTCTCTCGCGAAAATAGTGCGATAACTTCCAAAATCTACTTGAGCCACTCTCATGTCAGCTCATAATGCTCCTCCTTCCCCAAATGCCAGTAGTCGTTCCACCAATCTCGGTAATTGGCCTACGACTATGGCATGTTTCCG